AGAAATTTTTTACTATAAGGGTGGTGAGACACTGGAACAGGTTGCCCAGGGAAGTTGTGGATGCCCCATCCCTGGAAGTGTTCAAGGCCAGGCTGGATGTGGCCTTGAGCAACCTGCTCTGGTGGGAGGTGTCCCTGCCCAGGGCAGGGGGTTGGAAGTCAATGATCTTTGAGGTCCCTTCCAACTCTAACCATTCTATGATTCTATCACCAGAGCCTCCTGCTTTCAAGGGTGTTTCTGGCCTGAAGGCTGGTTACAGTTCTCTTCCTACAATTACATCTGTTTCCTGTGGAAGCTCTGCCACATCAAGGGTGGGCATGGCTGAAATTGTATGGCCCGTGAAGGAAGGTGGCCCATAATTAACCTTATAGGAATAATTTGGCCAGGATCTGTTGTGACAACTGATACCAGCTCGAACTGCCTAGGAATTGGCCCTCAGGTTGTTTGGTAGAGCTTTTTCTTGTAGAGAAAACACAATCAGGTCCTGGGTTTACCTTTTGAGGACCACAGGTACTTTGTGACAGCTCTCTCACATCTGAGGGTGCTGTGAACCCCCGAGTCCTCACACCCATGTCAGTCCTCTGGCTGCTGGCTGAGGTGATGTGAGGTTGAAGGCGATTTTTGTCTCTTCTCAAAGGTCTTTGGTTGGTGAAACAGGCACTGGCTGGAGGGTTATGTCAGCCCCTGGACATCCACGTTTCTGAAACTGCCCTACCAGAGCCTGGTCTCCAGCACTGCCCTCCCTGGAGGAGCACTGGCGTGGAGGTGGTGGTGACCTGCTGCACCCATGTTGTGCTCAGCTTGGAGGGGATCCATTCCCTCTCTGGATCTAGCCCCCAGAGCCATCCAGGCCACGTTCCAGTTTCCAATTCCCTTGATATGCGGTGGGGACCCTGGACCTTTGCACACTATTAATAACGTGCTGTGCTGGTGTGGCAGCGTCTCTGAATCACTCCTGTAATGTCCCCAAGGACTTGAGCTGCAACAGAAAACTTCTGGGGGTCTGTCCCTGTTCCCTTTCCCATCTCAGAGGCACCACTCGGTCCTGTTAAGCCAAAACGAAGCATAAAATTTCCTGTGGCCCAGGTCTCCCAACTGTTGCCCTAGCAAGGAAAATTCATCTTCCCCAAGCCTTGTTAAACCCTTTCCAGAAAACACTATGGTGTGGAAATTGACATCTCCACTGCATAGACCTACTCTGGTAACTCAGGGTTCCCAAAAGCTGCCCAGAAGGTAGGAGGGCAGGGCCTCGCGTGCTTTCCTGGAGTGCTTCGGTGACAAGAGGCTTTTCTTTTAAGGATATTTGCATGTGGGATCCAACATTGATTTATGATACTTGGAGAAGTTAAGTTGTCAAATCCAGAGAGGTCAAAGTTATTGCTCTCTGTGGAATTTTGCCTCCCGTGAATCGCCTTTGGGCTTCTTGGTGGCTCCATGTGCCTGGACTGACTCCTCGCTGCCCTGGGCACGGCAGTCCCCCGGCTCTCCAGGCTGGAGGAGATCCCACTGCAGAGTGCAGAGTCAGCCTGCACCGAGGAGAGGGACAAGGCAGGGAAGAGGTGACTGTGTCCCTTCCCTCAGTGCCCTGCAAGCAGAGGACAGGAGCTGTGAGGGGAACAGGCTCTGTGGTAGGGGAAAAAAAAACCTCAGGTGAAGCACGTGAGGAGAGGGCTGTGTCCCATGTTACTGCGGTGCTACACGTGTGTGTGTGTGTGTGCGCACATGTATGTGAGTGCTACAGGCACATCCCTGCTCCTGAGCATGGGGGGAAGTGTGGCAGCGGGAGGAGAGGATGCCAGGACTCTCTTTGATGGACAGAGAGAGTTGGGGAGGCTCAGCCTGGTGAAGAGAAGGCTCTGAGGAGACCTTAGAGCCCCTTCCAGTCCCTAAAGGGGCTCCAGGAGAGATGGGGAGGGACTCTGGATCAGGGAGGGGAGCCATAGGAGGAGGGGGAAGGGTTTGACACTGAAAGAAGGGAGATGGAGATGAGATCTGGGGAAGAAACCTTTTGCTGTGAGGGTGGTGAGAGCCTGGCCCAGGTTGCCCAGAGAAGCTGTGGCTGCCCCATCCCTGGAGGGGTTCAAGGCCAGGTTGGATGGCCTTGGAGCTTGGAGCAACCTGGGCTGGTGGGAGGTGTTCCTGCCCAGGGCAGGGAGTGGGACTGGATGGTCTTTAAGGTCCCTTCCAACCCGAACTGTTTATGGTCCTTCTGGCACAGAGCTGAGACCCTCCATGAAAGCCACCTCATGTGTGGCAAGATGTCTGCACTCCCTTCCCAGCAATGGGTCCATCCTCGCTGTGTCTGGGCAGTGTCGCTTCTCTCAAGCCCAGAGGCGGCTGCGTGTTGGTGACGCTGTGGGTTGTGACCCAGCAATGCAGAGGAGATACAGAGCAGCTCCCGCTGAGGGACTCAAGCTCTTGATCATTTGAAGGAGTCTGAGTTTCTGGAGGTGTTTGTGGACTCAGCCCTCAGGCTGTTTCTGTACTGCAAGAAGCAAAAGGGAGTAAGTTAATGTGTTCATGAAATTAACGGGAGCCCTCCCATTCATGAATAAGAGCTCCCTTTCTGGGAGCCCTCCCTCACACCCTCTTCCCCTTAGACTTCCCTGGACCAAATGAAGGAAAATACCTCTTGTTACAAACCCACCAGCAAGAGGAGGCACGAGCAGAGCCTGCCTTTGAGGTCATTTTGAGCTGCCATCAGAGCTGGCTTGGATGCGCCTCCTTTCTCCTACTGCCCCAGGCTGGTCCCTGGTACTGGGGCCTTTGCTGGATGCAAACGGGGAGCAGAACTAGACAGCAGGACCATGGTGAGATGGGTTCCCATCCACACAACCCTTTCCACCACCCCCCCACATGCCATGGCACCAGGTTGTGCACCAGCCCCACATGCCTTGGTGTGCTGGGAGCTGGTGCCTCTGGTGCAGGTGGCCTCCATTAAGTCGTTGCTGAGATTAGGGCTGTTTTCAGTAGGTTCCTTTGAGTGGAGGTTTGTTTGTGTAAATATTTGGACGTTTCTCAGGCGTGATTATTGAGCAACCTGCACCTCATGCATATTCAGAGGCCTCCAGCGATATCCTCCTCTCCTGGTATCCTCCTCTCCTGCCTGTGGCAGCCAGGATGGGCCCATGGATGTGGGAAGGACGGGAGGGCAGGGTGATGGTGGTGGGGGTGGTGGTGGGCGATGCTGGGGTGGGAGAACCCACGCAAACTGTGCCCTGGCCTTGAGCTGGGAGCACTGGTGACGGATCTGTGCTGCAGGCTGTTGTGGTGGGGGACACAAACTGTGTCCTGGCCTTGAGCTGGGAGCACTGGTGATGGATCTGTGCTGCAGGCTGTTGTGGTGGGGGTGTGATGCCCACAACCTCGGTGGTCCTGGCAGGCACGTGGGGCTGCTCAGTGCCCCTCGTCACGGCTGGGTGGCCATTCCTGGGCTCCCTGGCAGCAGTGACCCTGTCTCTACAGCAGGCAGTGGGAGGAGGCAGGATGGCTGAGCACGGAGCCCGGGCAGCCTCATGGCTCCTGGCTGCTCTCAGGGAAGGTTAAGAGCCGTTTGAAGCAGATGCAGAAGCTCCAGAGCAGCTTTCTTCCAGTTTTGCTTTGCATCCCGCATCCCCTGTCGTCTGAGATCCTCCCGTCCCACACGCTCATCTCACCCGTCACAGCTGGTCCCTCCCATTCAGCCCCCCCACACCTGACTTGTTTTTTCTGCTCTACAACTCCCTCCCTCCCTCCATCCCTCCTATCCCCCTGCTTTTTCCAGTTTAACTGGGGTCTTTCAGGGAGTTTGGCATCATCCCAAGCTTGGTCTCCATCATCCCGTTGCACAAATGAACCCAGTCACCCCTGCTGGCATAAGGCAAGGGACCAGCTTCTCCAGAACCCCCCGAGAGAGATGTAGATCTCTGGAAGCTCCAGCACCCATGCTGTCCCCTGAAGGAGGCCAGCAGCCTCTGGCACAGCAGGGCATCTGCTGCACTTCTGTGCTCTGCTCTTTGGGGCCAGCAGTAAGCTGATGGCATTGTTTTCTTTTTGGAGACCAGCTACAATGCAAGGACTGTGTCCCCAGCAAGTGATGAGTGGTGGGATGGGATGGGATGAAGCTGGGAGACCTTCCTGAGCCCAAGTGCTGTCTGAGGGAGGGTGAGGTTCAGCTGCAGCTGCTGGTGATGCTCAGGGTACTATGAGAAGGCTCGCTGGCTGCTCCTGCCACAGACAGTAATTGCTGCCTGTTCCTTGAGGAGGGTGAAGGAGACCCCCCCCACATCCCAAACCACCCCACTCCTGCAGTAAGAAAACCTGAGAAAACCTCAGAGCGTGGAGGATGACTCTTCCAGGGGTGATGTGCTGCAGGGTCTCTGCCATCTGCTGTCTGCAGATGAATTGAAGGGCTTCCTCCCTGGCTGTAAACACGCTCTGCTCCGGTACGAGGAAGAGGGGGGTCTGGTTTTCCTGGGGGTGATGGGACATCAGTTGGAGTGGTGCCACGGAGAGGTGGCGTGAGGCTGGCAGTGCTGCATCACAGAGGACTTCTCTGGCTCCTGGGAGGCAGTAGGTTGTGGTCACGTTCTCAGGGCTGTCCCCTCCCCGTGTGTAGGCTCTGGAGCACAGTGTTATTGACCTCTCCCTGCCAACACGCAGGCACAAGTGCCCTTTACATCTCCGGGGGGGTGACCACTCCAGCCTCTCCCGCTGTCCTTAATATTATCTTCCGTTTTACAGATGACAACCACAGGCACAGAGAGCCTGTGTCAGGAGCACGACACGAGTCGCAGGCAGGGCTTGGGGTTTCTATACGTTTCCACCTCCCTCCCTGCCAATTCCTCTGCTGACCTAAGCACAAAAAGCCAAGACAGCACTTCTGCTCCCGGGGATGTTGGTAGGAACTCGGAGGAACGGTGTTAAACCAGCCCCTGGCCACAAGAATGGGCACTGCATGGGGAAAACCTTCTCTGCTCTGCTCCACTGATGCTTCTCCCTGTCTCTGTTCCCCGCAACAGGCATCATGTCCATTACGTTATTCCGTATGACGGGGACCAGTCAGTGGTGGACTCCTCGGAGAACTACTTTGTGACTGACAATGTAACCAAGCAAGAGATTGATCTGATGCTGGGACTTTTGCTGGGCTTTTGTATAAGCTGGTTTCTGGTGTGGATGGATGGGGTTCTCCACTATGCGGTGCGAGCCTGGAGAACCAGCCGACGGTATGGTAAGTGCAGCCTCACGGGCTCCCTTCCTCCTTCCTCAGGTCCCTTGCCCTGTCCTCTGAGGCTGCTGGAGGAGGTCAACACTCCTCCAGGGTTTGTTCTGTGTGGATTTGGCCTGGCCAGCCCTATCCCAGCCCTCTTTGTGTGAGCGGGAATGTTTAGGTGGAAAGAGGCAGCCGAGGAGCCCGGCCTCGAGGGGCTCTGCTTGGGGAAGTGTTGGTGCAAAAGGGTTTTTGGTGGAAAGCGACGTGTTTGCACGTGGGCGGGCTGGCAGATGGTGGCTGCACGTCTGGGCAGAATATTTTCAGGCCAGACAAAACTTTCCCTGCAATCTGGATTTTTCTGTGTGTGTGATTTGCCGCCAGGCACGTGCCTTGGGGGGGTGCAGCCTCTCCTCGTTTGTAGAAACGTGCAACGACATGGTGACAATGACAGACATTCCTGTGTTGTCTCAGGAACACACCAGCTGAGGTTTCCCCATCCTTGTTGCATTTCCAGATGTGTCAATTTCATTTTGCAGTAGTGACATCAGCCCCGCAGGGAGGTGTTAGCCACAGTTAGTCCTTGGACCTCAGCATCCTGAACTAACACCCTGAGAATGACCAACAGACGCTCCTGCAGAGGCCCTCTTAGCCCCTCTTTGCTCTCTCAGCACAGACATCCCATGGACTTTAATTGTTGGAGGGGGGAAAAAGACAGAAAACTGTTAAAATAGTGAATAACTTGAAATTCCATGACAGTGTCCCTACAAATCTCAGGCTCTCTGACTGTGACTGATGGTGTCTGTTAAACTACAGCTCAGAGGAAAAGGAGAGCGAGCAAGAGTAAGATTTATCTGTAAACCTGTAAGAAATTCTAATTAGGGAAGTGGACTATCGCTTTCTAAAAACTCAGATCAAAATGATATTAATTTCTCATTAGTCTTCCCAAGTCCCCAGCAGCCTGCCTGAACGCTTTCTGAATCAGGACTCTCTCGAGGCTGTCTTGCTGTCATTTCCCAAGCAGAAGGCTAATTGTCAGAGTTTCCAGTGAGATCTAAGGTACTGAGCCAATCTTGAGGCCATAACACCTGTTTTTGACCAGCCCACCTGTGGCTGTGATCTCATCAGTGCTCCTGAAGCCAGCGGGGCTGGCAGGAGCTCCTTGGGCAATAGAGCTCTTCAGAGCTGGAAGCTACAGACATGGCACCTTCTTGAGAAAGGATACTGCATAGATTTTTATTTTTAGTAATAAAGGCCAATGCTAGTAATTAATTTAGTATTTAAACTGAACGATGTTTTTTCTTTCTTTTTTTTTTTTTTATCTCCTTGTGTATGCACCTTCTAAGGGTTTAAGAAGGGGTTTGCCAATGGTGCAAAATACTGTGCAGCTACATCTTTTCAGAAAATGAATGCAGGATGACTTTACACCCGGATTTTTCTTTCCTGAGCAACCCTTTGGCAGTGCCCCTTTCACGATGCAGGAGGCTGACACCCCTCTGGCCTGAGACTCTGTCTCTTAGTGCCGTCTTAGTGGTGTTGCACCAGCCACACGGGACCAGGCTGCTCTTAAACCAGGCTAGTTGCTCCCCAGATCCGTGCCTCCGCTGTTCCCAGCTCCATTAACAGCCCTCTGGCCTCACAATCAAATGTTCATCACAAATAAATGGAGAAGAGACTCAGGAAGCCCTCCTCTTATCCGTAGGTGAGGTCTCCAGTGTATCTATAACCTGTGCAATGGGATGTGATGGCTCTTTCCAGTGAAGGTTTTACATCCCTTGAGCTGTTCTGTCCGAGGAGAAGGCAGTGTGCTGTGCTGAGAACGTTTCACTGAAGACAGGCTGAAACCTCTGCAGCAAAATAATGAACATTGAGCCTTTAGGTGTTTCCTATTCATTCAACTCAACTAGTCATTTTAAAGCAGAAAGGGTACCTCTTTCTTTGTGGAACGAGTACCTAAGCTCAAATTTCCTTCTAAGGAAAGAAACGGTGCCTGAGAGACAGGGGTAGGGATAATACAAAATACTGTACTGGTACAGGATGTAGAGCCCTGCCCAAAATACATGAGCACCACTTAGCAATGACTCAATGTCACATTGTGGCCTGATCAGCTTAAATTTTGGTCTATGAGAATAACCTATAGCTCCTTCCTGATGGAAGAGATTTCTTAAAATAGAAAATATTCTGTAGAAACTCAGACACCAGGTTGCACTTCACAGGAGCTGCCAGAGCAGAGTTGGCCAGAGGAGCCTCCTACCACCTCCTGCCGGTCACGATAGTTCAGCTTTCTACCATCTATTGTTCTCTGGGACTTCCAAATTCTCCTTTGTGGGGTTGGGGTATGTGCATTTTGGGGTGGAATGACCCAAAGCTCTCATGAAACTGGGTGGCAGCTGAAACGTCGCTACAGGGAAAGGTTCTTGGGCTGAAATGCTGGATAAAACCCACCTGATGCTGTACAGCCTGTACCGGCTGTGGGGCAGAACGTGGCTCCTGCTGGTGTTGCATGAAATTGGCCGGTGTTTCAGGAGACAGAAGAAAAGGGCCAGGATGGAAGAGGGATGTGGCAGCAGTCTGAAGGTCAAGGCTGGCCTTGCTGAGGCCATAACTCATGCCTGGTTTCTGTGGGGCAGGGCTAGGCAAGGCAGGAGAACGTGGGTCTCACCGTTCCTGTAAATATCTCATCTCCCTTCTCCTTTCTGCCTTCCAGACAACTCCTGGTCTTGGATTCCAAAGTTTTGTAACCTAAAGGAGTTCAGAAAACGTCACCACAGGCAGTACGAGGAGGCGACTGGGAACATGGTGCACATCAAACAGAAGCTGTACCATAACGGGCACCCGAGCCCACGGCACCTCTGAGGAATGCCTTCCCCTCCAGAGACTGCAGTGAGGTTTTAAAAAGGACTTTTGCTCTTCTTCCAGGGGAACAGCCACCGGTTTGCTCCTCAGTGGAAGCCAGCCGAGGACACGATTTTACTTCTCCATCCCGTGTGTCCCTGTGGCACACCACGATGCACAACTAAGCCAGTCCTGGATGCTACGCAGCCAAGACATTGCACTGTGTTCCACATTTTATTGTCGGACTTGTGTACATATGTAAAAAGCAGACAAACAAAAACAACCGAAAAAAAAAAAGAGAAAAAGATATTTGCATTATACTTTCAACCCCACCCCGGCCCCTTTCCTTTTCCTGGCGTTCACGGCTGTCCTGCACATCCAGCTACCCCACGGGCAATGTTGGCCAAGGGTATGGAGGTGGGACAACATGAAGAAGATGTGGAGTTTCTCATCCAAGAGCTCAAGTCCCCCCTGTTTCTTTGGTCCTTTGGCTTGGTTTTGCTCTGCTCTGTTCTTTCTGTGGCCGGGAGGGCTCAGCTGGTGAGAGGTTTGGATGGGGACTGCTGCCAGCTGGCTGTGAAGGCACAATGTCCCTTCTTGCTTTGGTTCACGTGTTGGGGGAGTTGCTGTGGGGGAAGGAAGGGCTGGGAATGGTGTAACTGGTCTGTTGTTGGTGTTGCTGTACGCTGAGACCTGCCTTAAGCCATCCAAGAAATGGTGGTGCCAGGGGAAAGAGCACGAGGAGGTGTGGGTCCGTTTGACAGGGCTGGTGCTGCTGGGGTTACACCGCTTTTAGGTCGGTGGTACCATTTCTTCTCCACTGATGCCAGAGAGAAGTGGCTCCTGGTGTGTGGGGAGAAGTGTATTGAGTTGAATGGTGTCAGATCCGACTTGACTCGCACCCTGATCATACCCCTCTGCTGCAGAACCACCCCCCACCCCTTGCTGGGAGGAAAGGAGCTGCTCTCCCCCCTCTTCTCAGGGGCTGAGCCCGAGGCCCTGGTTGATACCACCCCAGAAACACTGACAAGGCAGTGAGAGGGTCCTGGTGACAGCCTCACTCCTCCTGCAGATGAAGAGCCACCCATCTTCTTGTGTTACTGCTCCGAGATGACATAGCACTTGGGCAGCAGAGTGGGCTTGGCTTGAGGAACACAGAGAGATGTGAGCCTGAAGCCAAACTCACCTACAGAGTCAAATGTCCCAATAACGGGTTGAATCAAACACAAGGATGCTCTGTTGTGGTTTTGCCTTTGCTTTCCATCCCTCAAAGCGTCCAAGGCTGGGTTGGATGGGGCTTTGAGCAACTTGGTCTGGTGGGAGGTGTCCCTGCCCAGGGCAGGGGGTTGGAACGAGGCGGTCTTTAAGGTCCCTTCCAACCGAAGCCATTCTACCAGTCTAAGATTCCCCTGGCTGCAGCTTCAGTGTGGGTTTCAAGGTAGCTGTCAAGTATCTGAAACCAACCTCCACATCCAGAGACCTCCTTCACTTCCAGAGTTGTCTGTGTGCACCTAGACAGCGTTGTGGTATCCCGATCCTGTAGCAGTCATGTTCTGCTGGGGGAGGGAAGCAAATGTGCCCAGAAGCATTGCTTTTGGACGTGCTGGGCAGTGGTCAGCAGCACCTGCAGTGGGAAGAGAGAGGATTTTATGGAGAGGAACAGGGGAGGGAGACGCCAGCCCCAAGAATGTAAGGTGGTAGCCCCAAATCCCAATCATTTCTCCTTCATTCGTTATTTTGTATTGGGTGGGCCTGTGCTTAAATGGGGAAAACATCCAGAACAAAAGGATGAAGAACATTATGAGAAACTGATGTTGATTATCAGTGACCTCCTATTGTTTGATTGCAATGTGTGTGAAGGAAAAAGGACACCACGGCTCCCTGCTCTTTTCTTCACTCTTCAGCTTCTGAGTCTTAGGTTTTTCCATTGTTTCCTACGCCCAGGTTCAGGTCAGTTATTTACAAGCCCCAAAGCTGCCCAAGAGCCAAATGTACCTGTTTCTCTGCCATTCCTACCTTTGCTGTTCCCTTGCTGTTCCCCTGTGCCTCTTGTCCAGTTTCTGCCTGGGCCTAAATAATTGCCTGGTCCATACGTATGTCTGTCTGCTTGACTGTCTTTCGTTCAGGACATGGTTGTCACGTCTGTAGCCACATCTCAGTATCTTCAGAATGACTTTTCCTTGAGCAGCTCCTTTCCAAGACACGCGGCTTTGCAACCTCCCTTAGCCTCTGAGCTTTGTGAGTTTGACCATACAGGCTCCTCCTCGAGAGGCATAAGATGCTCCCTCCATCGGAGCATCACCCTTAGAGTGGCCAGGGGAGAGCTGGCCAAACAGCTGGTCTGGTTGCCCTTGTGTGGTGGCACACACCTAACTGGCTGCAAAGAATAGGGTCTGTACCATAAAACGGGTTCATGGCACGGATGTGTCTTCAGATGGGACAATGTTTTGCAGGGGAGAAAATTCCATCATGATAAGGACAAATACTGAGGCTCTGGAACTAGTTGTGGGGGAAAGAAAGCACTTTAAATAATAATCTTTCCACTTGGAGCCCTCTCACAGGAGAGGCTTAAGGCAGTGACCTAAACTCAGACTGAAGTGAAAATCTGGTTCTTCTCTGCTCTAGTAACGGACCTTAGTTGGAACATCATTAAATAAGAAACTTAGAGCTGGAAAGAGTGAAGTGATGGCTCACACTGATTAAGTTTGATCCACACCAGAATTTCAGAAGAATATAAGGCTCTGGAAGAGGGAAAAAAAAAAGATCCTACATGGTACATATTCCCACTGTTTAAGATCAGATGTTTTTTTAAATCTGCTGTGTCTGCAGCTGTTACCTTGTGAGCCTACCCCTTGGTTACACTTAGTCAATACATAAAGCAAACAATGCTCTCAGTGAAATTAAATTAACTGGGAATAATTCACTGGTCTTAAATCCAAGGGAACGAGAAGTACCCTCACAGAGCAAGTTTTGTCCCAGGACACACCAACCCCATGGGATTAATCCCGGGGAATTGATCAAGCCTTTGATTCTCATCCTTAATAAATAAGGGACACAGTTCCTTCCATGCAGTATGGCCAGGTCCTATTCCTGACCCCAGAGATCTGGTCCATCTCCTGTGCAGGGGTGATTTCCAACAGCCAGCTTAACTGAGACACAAGGTCAGGTTCCTGCTGTGAGGTGCCTTTTTTTAGGAAGCTGCTGTAGATGGGACCCTATGTACCAGAGGTGAGGCCATGCCCGTTGGTGGCACTGGTTGACCTCACGCACCAAGTGGTGGTTACTCCTTGAGGAGCAGCCCAGGTCCCCTGTGCCATTGAACCCGTGGTGGGGTGCAGAAGATGACAGGTCTTCCAAACAACCAAGTGTCTGCCAGGCCTTCTCTTTGGGGAATGACAAGCCCCCACTGGAGAAGCAGAAGGTGGAAGAGGCCACCATGTTCCGAGTCCTGCAGAACCCCACCGCATCGCCCCCAGCAGCACCCCCTCTCTCTGCTCGACATCTTGTCCCTGTCCCCACCCTGTCCCCTCTGCTCGAGGTGTGAGCCTTACCAGCAATGTCCAGCTTCGTGGTCCCTCGTTCCTCTGTCCAAGTGAGGTTGCTACTCTCGCTCGCAGCTCCGTTGTCCGTAGAGTCTGCCCTTGCACCGTCTTCTCCTCCCGCGCGCGTGTTCGTCTTGCTTTTGTCTGGTTGTGGGGGTGTTCTCTCCTTGTTTAATTGTCTGAGATGTACTAGTGTCGACTTGTTTGTTGTTCTCTTGCCTCTGATCCAGTCTTCACACACACACAAAAAAAAAACCAAACCAACAAAAAATAACCACAGATCAAAACAACGATAACAAGACAACTCAGCAAAAAAAAAACACAACCCAAAACCAAAAAACAACAGAAAAACCCCAAACAAAAGGGGTTCTCTTGGGAGAATGTAACTTTGGCATCAGGGAGTTGACACAGCAAAGTCAGGGCTGGGCAAGACGCTGGTCAGAGCCTTGGGGAAGGGAAAATACGGGGCTGCAGAGCCCCCAGCTGCGTCTGTGGGGTGAGGGAACCGTGCACCATCTCAGCTCTCGGCCACCAGATGCTTTGAGGGAGGTTTCTGCAGAATTGGAGAGTGGGGGGGGGTGAGGGGATTTTGTGACGCCTCAAGAGGGGCTATTTTTAGAGCAGAGATAAGAGTTTAAAACGGTACGTGCTGATTTTCCAGAGCTGAGATCGGCAGGGAAAGGTTCACCTGTGGTTTTTGGGTGTGAGGAGCCCAGTTTGCTGCTGGTGGCTGGGACCTGCTGCGAAGGAGGGGTGTGGAAAGGCAGGTGGAGAAAAGCAGAGGCTGGTGGAACGTTCAGCGTGGTATCGAGGAAGAGTGTGTGTGGGTGAAGATGGAGATAATGAAGGTCTCTTCTGCATTCAGAGGGCTTTGAAGGTAGAAGTAGCCACCAGAAGCTCCCAGAGCACCTCTGGATGTAAAAGAACAGAAGTATTTCTATTACTAGAGCACACGGTACAAATAGGAAGACATTTGGATCAAATGCTTTGCAACCTGTATGTTTCAGTGACAATGGGACGCAGAGCAGGGGACAGACAGGAGGGGGACACAGGACTGCTGGTTCTTCCTTAGGAAGATGAGGTGTCCTCTCAGGCCAGGCCAGCTCACCGTGGTGCCTGGGAGAGCACAAAGCAGCAAGTGAATTTAGAGAAGAGAAAAATCTAAAAATATAAAAATGCCAGGCCTGCCACCTCCCGTCTTGTGGGCTGTGGGGGCAAAAGAGGAGGAGGCAGAGGAGAAGGACAACGTGGGCAGGTTTGAGGAGCACAGCGAGGAGCCTTGGCTGCCAGTTTGCAGCATCCCAGCTTGGCTCACGGGATGCTGTCCCAGTTCCATGTGTGTGTGTGTCTCAGTGTGTTTATACCCGTGTGTGCCATCATGTTCACTGCATGACGCCTGTTCCTCCTCTTTGGTACCTCCCCGTCCATCCACGCTCATTTCTTTTCCATGGGGTGGGTAGTTTTAGTCCCCTCTTCAAGCTGAGCCCGGGGAGGGGTGACACGGGGGGTGGCTCAGTCCTGCTGAGCACCCTCAGCTTGCAGTGATGAAGGCAGTGGAAACCCTCGCAGGAGAGAGCACCCAGCTGAGGAAGATTTCTTTCAATAGTGCTCTACAGGGAGAATACGAGAACAAGACTTGGGAGTGCTGTTTTCCCCAGTTGTTAATCCTTCTTTTCTTTTTTTTTTTTTTTTTTTTTTTTTTTTTTGATTTTTGGCTGCACTCAAACCAACTTTTTGCATGCATCCGGCAGGAAGAGGTCCAACGCGCGTTGATACTAACAGAGAGAGAGAGAGATTATACTCTGCCCTGAGTCTAATCGTAGAATAATCTCTACTGTGGTTGAAAAGCAATAAATGGCTAATTTTATTATTTTTTTTTAATTATTATTATTATTAAATACACTTGCACAGGCAAACGTCACCTACAGCTTGTGTTCTCCGGCGGCCGTGGTGGCGCTGAGGCCGGGGGGAGCAGAGAGCCTGGGGGTGGGGGGAGGCAATAGAAAAAAGCACACTGTGATTTTATTTGGGTCAACGAGTGAGTGTATTTCAGCCATTCCTTCCCTTTCAGTAATATGTTTGTATAATAGATAACCCGTTCAGCTCCTGGAACTAAGCCCGTCCTTTGCTGTTTGTCAGTAAAATAGTTTTTTGCATGTTTTGCATCTGAGTCTTTTTTCCAACCCTTTGAACCGAGCGATGCTCCAGGGGTGAGAGGCTGGAGGCTTGGCAGGGGCACAGCAGGTCACCAGTGTGTGGGCAAAGGGTTTAAAAGAGGAGGAAGAGGCACAAACATGGCTCAGATGGTGGGGGGGAAAAAAAAAAGCTGTGCCCAGCCCTGATCCCTGATGAAGGGCTGTGCCATTTCCCCCTGGTTATATCCCAGATTTTACCTTCCTCGTCTCCCACTCACTGGGAACAGAGAGAAGCCCCGAGGTCTGAAATTGATTTAAAAAGAAGACAAATATTTTACTGTTAAAAGCAAATTCTGGGTGCAAGCTGCCTCCAGAGAGGAGCCTATTGCCAGGGAGGGCAAGGAAGAAAGGCAGGGTGCAGGAGACCTGGGCTGTGGCACGGATCAGGAGAGATGTGCTCATTTCCCAGCCCAGCAGTACCAAAACCAGCCCTTTAATGTTCTTTATTCTGCTCTTTTCTCCCCTGGAACAGGACACAAACACAAAAACAGACCGAGTCTGACATGAGCAGGACTTCAGTCCTTATGAGCAAAAGATGCTGCTGTACGTGTTGTTCTGGGCAAGTCTTGCTGGAGACCCTGTGTGAAAGCAGAGCAGCAATAAAAAAACCCAACACCCAAGCAAAGAAACCCCCACAACATGAATAAAACCCACAGAAGGAGGAGAGAGAGGAAAAAAACCCACCCAGGCAGAAGGCAGGGAGCTGCTGTCACAGAACTGAGTGATGGTTGCAGGCACCGGCAGCTCAAATGATGTCTGGGGGTAAAAAAATGGCCAGCAGAAGACAGATGGTGTGACTTCTGTTGAGGTGAGAACAATTAGAGCCAGGGCAGGAGGTGGAGGACCACTTGGGGTCTTCTTGGAGCTACTCAGAACCTCCTGGAACAGCACAGCTTCCCAGAGTCGGCCAGTGACTTGCATTACAGGCTGGACAAATTAATCAGATTCACCACTTAAAAAAAAAAATAAAATAGGAGAATAATAATGTTGCAATAAAATGGAAACAGCCACAGACAATGGGTGATAAAAGAATCTGAGGGTTTCTTCTCCATTCAAACCACAGCCACAGGTTGGCAGAGAAATACTTCCTGGGGAGACTCCTGTCTCCCCAAAGTCCTACAGCGTGGGACGTGCCCTGGGGAGAAGGTGTGGGGTGCTCACATCTTGTACTGGCACAATGGAACTTTCCTCCCAGTGCATTGCATTCAGAAGTAACTGAGAAGAGATGGATGACCAGGCTGTAAATCTGTCTCCCAGCTGCAGTGGTTGGAGCACAGAGAAGGCGTTTCAGCTGGCAGTGGCAGAGATGGGGGGTGATGGATTGCTTGCTAATCCATCTGCTCTTAGATTTGCTCTCCAATACAAAATACTATTTTAATAAAGTGCTATTAGCTCATAACTCACTCGGTGTCACGGAGAGGAGATAACCTCAGCCTGAGGTTGCCATCTTATATCCCTGCACGGAGCGTTAACAAATAGCTAGCTGGGTGCCACCTCCACGGGGACATCATTCATCCTGCGAGGTGACAGCAACCCAAGCTTACTGATGAGGCTGGCAGAGGCCGTGCATTTAAATCTTTGATGAGGCAGGAGTTGAACAATGACAGGTTGGTGGCCTTTTTTTCCTCCTTTCCTCTTGCATTCCCCAGGAGCAGCAGCAGTGGCAGCCACGGGCACGGCTATTCAGTGGGCAGCAGGGCTTGAAATCACCCAGCCAGGAGCGACGCGCGTAGCAAGAGGGACAAGGAATCTCTTTTTAGAGGCAGGATTCAAAGAGATGGTAGCAATAGTACCTGGGATGCATCCAGAGAGCTGGCTTCTTCAGTCCAACAGCCCTGGCACATGATTTAAGGAACGAAGGGTGATGTGTGAGGGTAAGAGAACGGATGGAGAACTTCACACCAGAAACGCTCAGACATCCACGAGCTCTCAAAACCACCCGTGTTTCTGTCCAAGACAGACAGACCTTTCCATCCAGGTAAGGAGTGGTGGCATTCATCATTAAGAGCGGTCATTAAAAGCCCTTAAAAACTCACTGACAAGATCTTCTGTGCTCAGGTGAACCCGAGAGCCCCCTGGGTCAGCCTGTGCCTCCTGCTGTCACCCCTGCTACCGCAAAAGGCTTCTTCTAGCTCACTCCTCTCCCCAACCTGCAATTAATCACCGCCGCAGGGCGCAGAAGCAGGGATCCCAGCTGCATGACAAACACTCTGCTCCCTCCAGCTTCCATGTAGGGACCTGATGCAATCTGAAGGAGGGATCTCATGAAAAGAGCTGAGACAGCAACCGCCCTGCCTTTGGCACAGCTTTACAGCAGGAATTCTCTTCCCGGCAAAAGCGCAGTCGGGAGAGCGTAAGGACGAGCCGGGGAGCCTTCCCCCTCCTCCTCCTCCCAGCTCCTTTTGTGCTTCCCGGGGAGGCCGATGGAAGAGAGAAGTATGGAAGAAGGTGTGTGTTACAATGAGAGATTTCAATCACACAAGATCAGGCTGCTCCCTCACAAAACTCATTAGCAAGGGTTTTTTAGCAGAGAGCGGCTCTGCTGAGCTCCCTTCCGTCTCCTGGGGCTTAAGATAATTCTAGTAAAATCTTAATAGGAAGGGGAAAGCCTAGAATAGCTAATCCTCTGGTAAAGCAGTGGACTAAAGGACAACTGCAGCCAGGCTGAAGGGGAGGGGGGAAAAATGGCATTTGAGTTTATTGCAGTCATTGAGAAGATAAAGTGTGCAGCTTGGGTTTGTACAGCGATCCCTCCCTTTCCTCTACAGCACATCTCCCACAGCAACCTACCCTGCAGCAAGTGTTAGAGGGAGAAGCAAGTCCTGGACCTTAACAAAGGAACTCCTTCTAAAAAGCCCCTTTAAATTCTTCCTTGGCAGGGGAAAAATACCAGAGACCTATTTTGAGAGAAGATGGTGAAGACGGTGAAGGTTTGCAGCCTCAAGAACTATTTCTTCCCCTCTGTCCCACTCTGGTGACCAGCCCCGTTCCGCTCCTGCACTCACAAGCTCTTGTCAGCAAGCACCTCCAGCATCTCACAGAGCTCAGGAACCACCACCAGGGAAAGGGGCGAAGCAGAGACTGCTGTCAGCTCCTGTTGGAGGAGAACATCTCAGCAAGGTACT